TATGTATATATATATTGTATTAGATAGGGATGTCCCGATACCGAAGCTAGCATTAGTATCGGGACCGATACAGGGCATTTTGACAACTACTTGTACTTATCAAAATGCCCCGATGCATAGCGCCAATGCTTGCCCTGTTTTTTTTTCTCTGTACCTTCCGAGGTGTTGAATGCTTTTCCTCACATCCTCGGCAACAGGGATCGGATTGAAACTGTGAGTGGGGGAAGCTGGGGCAGGGCTGGCTGTAAATCTATTGCTGTAGTGTACTGGATGTATGTAGTACATATATACAGCACACACCTCCACTACATTACAGCAATAGATTTACAATTCTCCCCTGCTAACATGCATAACATGTAGTTGTACTATGGATCATTTAAAGTATCGGCAAGTACTTGAGGGGAAGTACTTGTACTTGGTCTTGAAAAAGTGGTATCGGGACATCCCTAGTATTAGAGATTGGTTAAAGATTTCAAAGCAAATATAATGTTACATCAAATAGTCACAAAAAGTAATTTTCCCTCATCAGTGATAGGAATGAAACGCATGACTCTGAGATGTGGAGTTTGTCTGTAGGGGTACACAACTAGGATATCTACAGTAGACAGCTCAGAGGGAAATTGGCCAATAAAAACTCCCAACCAAGCAAACGTTCATCTAAAGCCTGCTGAAAACAGAAGGGTCCAGTAACCACAGATGGCAGTATGCAAGCTAGAATAAATGACTCTAAATGTAGACTGCATCTGTGCTGTACACCAGCGGTTCTGGAGATACACTTGGCCAAAGGGGGCATAACGGAATTATTTCCATGGCTCTGCCTAGTATATTAAAATGTTATACTCATTAAACATTAAACTCTCATCTTATCTGGTATTCAACTAACCAGAACTCTCTTATAACCAGAAAAAAAAATCCAGTGTACTCACTGTTTTGCTGATCTGCGGCATATATTATCCTGGAAATAATTGTGTGACTATTTGTCTTAAATGTGTCTATTTGTCTTAATTTGCTTTTGATCACTGCATTTCAATATTAATATGAAGTCAATACAGAGTTTATGTTATGATATGGTATAATATGGTGTATGGCATTAGTTAGACCTATTTTTAATAGTAACTCTCAACCAACCAGAAACTACATTTATCCAGAGTCTACCAATCGCCATGAATGCCGAATAATGGGGAGTTTACTGTATTTTTTTTTAAAGTGAACCCTTTGACTAAAAATCACATCGGCATACAACTCTGCATGCTGATATGAAATTGCCTTACATTCATTAACTAAACAAGCATATTTTTATTTTACTTACAATTTCCTTTTCTCCACTTCCTGGTCCTCTTTGGCACAAGTTATTTAATTGTGCCCTACCAGTGCATTCTGGGAAGGTTACTTCAGCAGAGCATTGCTGGGAAATTTCATCTGTAATCTCATGAGATCTCAGGGAAAGACATGTTATTCCCCTGAGATGATGTGCATTGTCACATGTCCTAGTCACATGTGCCAGGAAGTAAAGGGAGATCAAGTAACCTGCCCTTAGTTAAGATGCAGACTGGGGGGGAAAAAAAAGTAAGGTATGCAAAAAATAAAAAGCCGGCAGTTATCTAGAAATATGTGTTTGTAGATTGTCATTACTAAACATTTCTAAAGGTGTGTTTGTTGTTATTTTAAAGATATGGGTAAAGTTCCTCTTTATATATATAAAGAAATAATTTTCAGTAAAATGATGATAGGTATAAAGCAGTGAATGTGACATTCCCCAAACAAAAACGACAGGTCACCAGCACTCAGATAATTTAAATAGGTATGTCCTTTTTAAAAAGGACATACCTATTTAAATTATCTGAGTGCTGGTGACCTGTCGTTTTTATTTCGTATTTTGCACGGTGCCATCCATGGTCGTTACTGCAAGCACCATCGTTCTTACTGGCCGGGATTGTTGTAAGGTGTGCGGAGAGCACCCTCACCAACTGAAACATTCCCCAAACATTCACTGAAAGTGTACCTTTGTGGTGCATGTGTTTTAAATAACAGTTACTAATTAATTTGCAGTGACTATTTGGTGGATGTCACATTTGCTGCTTTATAAAAAATACTCCTAAATTAATTATATGAATAATGGCAATCTTCTTTATCTGAAATGATATATATAATCAATATAGTAAAATAAAAAAAATAGAGACAGGCGAGCAGGTGATTCAGTATCCTATAGTAACTTGATCCTCTAAACAGCAGTGAATTGAAAATACATAGGCACCAAAAAGGCAATCCTGACAAAATGAAGTACAAATGAGCAATCTTATAGGCAATTGTGATAAAATGGAGGCAATGACAAAAACACGGAGAAAACGACATTGCAACTTTCCTCATTACAACACAGAAAGTCCACAAACCAGTTATAATTAACCCTATTTCTTCAGGACAGAAACAGGTAGGACACTGCAACAATGTTTGTTAAAATCATAATAATGTGCACAGAAAACCCAAAAGGTATTGAGGATTTTTCTCAACAAAAGTGCAATTACTCTTTAATTTTAAAAATACATTAAAACCTTCATGCCAAAATGGAAAGAAGAATAGCATCTTCCGTACCATACTTCTTTCCAACATTCCTTTCAAAACTACATGTGCTCTTTACAGACTGACTAAATGCTTTAGCGTGCATACAGTAAATGTTTCACTGCAAATAGCGCTGAAGTCATCCATCGCTATCAAATAAGTGATCTTGCCAAAATGCAAGCTCATTCGTATAATGTGCACACAAATCTGCACTGTGTTCAGATTGCCATCTGCTTTGTGTGTCAAAAGTTAAATGGATTTGTATTATTTGCAAGTTTTTTCTGCTTATGCTACCTAATGCTGTGGTTTGCCTTTTCATCTTTCAAGGAGATTCATATCTGAGAATCACAGATTTTCAACTACTGTACATATCCAAACACAGAGCTACAGAGAACAAAGAGGGTTATTCACTAAGGAGCTGAAGGATTAAGCCGAAGCATCGGCTAATCCTTCGGCTCACTTTGGTTGCCGAAGCCGTTTCGGAACTGAAGGGCTGCTGTACGGGCTATTCGCAATAGCCCGTACAGCAGCTGAAGGCAGTCGAACGGCTCAGCTGAGCCAAGCGCATATGCTTCGGTTCGGCTGAGCCGTAGTCAAAGCTGAAATGGGGAGAATGGTCTGCCTAGGCTAAGTGCCAGACAAATGTAAACAGTTGAGCGGAGCTAATGGTGATGTCACGTCTGGCTCCGCCCAGTTGTTGTCTTTCAATGACAGACCAGCGTCCTCAGGCTATTTGAGGACACTGGGCAGTCATTAAATGACAACAACTGGGTGGAGCTGACTGTGGCGTTGTCTGGGACCTGCGGGAAGACTCTGACTGGTGCCGGACAAATGAAACAGTTGAGCGGAGCTAGCGGTAATGTCATGATGCATCCACCCCGCTGGGTGCCGGCTGCCAGCATCTGTCTGTGCCCCCTCCGAGCACTCTCCCCTGCCTGTGTCGGCAGAGGCAGCGGGGATCAGACACAGCCGATCCAGCTGCACGCGCCCAGCAGGGAGGAGAGAAGCTGTACTCCACCATTAATGCGGAGGAAGCATAGCTAGTTTTGTGTGCTTTAATAAAGGTAATTTATGACAGGTAGACTTTGAACAAGTAATATCTTAAGCACAAAGATATTAACTAGATAGGGATAAAAATCTTATGCCTTCAGTTGTCTTATACAGACAGGATATAAACATATACACAAATATCTAAAGGTCATGTACATATGCAGATTTATGAAGTATTAACAAATATGAGAAATCCCTTACGCTATACAGCTCTGTGCGAATCCTGACAAAGCCTCTTCTGTACCAAGTCCCTGTGTCTGTCTCAATTTCAATCAGTTCATCTATTTGCTTGGGAGTCTTGATTCTGTGAACCTAAAATAAAAAATATGGCACATGTTGTATACAGCAAAAACACAGTATATGGATCTTAAATTAAATTACACACTAGGGCCTTAGGCTCAATTCACAAAGCTTTACACACGCCTAAAACACTTTATTTTCAACCTCATGACTGTAATTTTTACGTCTTGTTGGACCGAAATAAAAATGGCTGTCATTTTTTAAAAATAATATGTTTTCTGATCCTGGCATGTTATCTTTGTTAATTGAGCATACTGTATAAAATTAGCCATATAATCAAAGTGTATCTAAACCAAATAACAATTACATGTTTAATTAAATGTATTTGATTTCGCAGCTTACTAATTCTTAGATGTGGTGGCTGCATTATTTTCTTTTTCAGGCTTTTTGCCCTTTATTATTACCTGATTATCCTGCCATTTCCTGTCCTAGGCTGACAACGCTCATTAGCTGTACTGTATCTACAGAGAAGCAGCTTTGGCACCTTAAGATAGGACTGCATTAACCCACGCCTCTCCTCTTCCTCATAACATAGTGGGCAGGGGATCTGTAGACCTCAGAGATACCAGAGAACAATATAACTGATAACTGCAGCACACACAGTGGGCAGCAGAAGTTATCCACTATAATGGATATAACATAACACTTTCAATGGAATATATAACACACTAACAGTGATCAAATGAGAGACGTTAATTGTTATGGTTTACATACCCTTTAAAGAGAAGTTAGCCTACTCTGACTTTGGTTCAATATTGGGTGTTCCAATCCTTACGTTGGTATGGACAAGTGAGTACAATCCAGATGATGGTGACCTTATGGATCATGAAAAAATACTCCAAATATAGGTAGGTGCTCTATCCTGCCTCAACAATACAAGTAAGGCAGGCAACTTCTTACAGTACAAGGGAAAATACAAGTAATAACCCCAAAAATGATACAATTTGATAATTGTGTTTGGGAACTTTAAAGCAGATCTCCAGAATTTGTAAAGTTAACTCTTGCAGTGAACTACCCAAGCACTGCAAGGGTTAACTGTTCATTTTGGTCAGGGGAACGGAATAAAGTGGCAGTATCATCAATGTGTGCAGTGTGCGGTGAACATGGGCCCAGAGGTGGCATGGGGCCCACTGCACACTTACTGACTGCACACAAGGGGGGATATGGCCAGGTCAGCAGGGGATGCCATCTGCCTGTGTTTTCGCCATTTCCCTCCCATTGTTGGTTGCTAGTGCAATCTGGTCACATCCACCATTCAGAGCGGCATGCTAAGTGCGCTGCTTTATCAATGAAAATTATTTTTTGTATTGGGAGTTTTAAAAGAATGTACACATATAGATGGCTGGAATGTGGAAAGTTATGATCTTGCACATAGGCCCACTGCATTTTGAAAATGCCACTGGCTGCCACCTATGAATTATGTATGTTATATGGCTGAATAAATGCAGGTAAGTAAATTACTGAATCTGATTAACCATGGAAACTGTATAACTAAGATACAGTATGTTAGTGGTTTAAACACTTCACTGGCCAAGAATAAGCATGGAGTTAGGACTTAATTTGCTGCATGTGTGTTCTGAATGTGGAGCAATCGTCCCAACGTGGCCACTGCTTAGTGCACTCAGATCAAATGCAGCTTGCATACTCCACACTTTCTGGGGCTATCTGAAGGTGGAGGCAAAGAGCCTGACAGTGCCAGGGAGAGGAGGCAGCAATGTGGCATTTGATCTGAGTAATCCTGGTGCCCTCTGGTGTTCCTTCTCTAGACTCAGGCTAGATGACGGATCACTAAGTGGTAGCTTCCTCTCCCATAGGCCCTGTCAGACTCTCCACCTACTGATGATCGAGAAGCGAAGACTAATGGTACAAGAAAGAAAGAAGGCTGCCTGTGGCATTGAACAAGTGGTGAAAAGTTAGCACAGAAACCTTTCTATGCTGTCCTTCCTTAAAATATAAATACTGACATACCACTAGAACCTCATTTGTCAAGGAGCCACAATTCTAAGGTTAGGTGTTCAGTCAGCATACCCATGTGAGAGAGGGGCCCATAACGTTTAGAAAGATATGCAGAAGACCAGATACTGATTTCTATGTAGAAACCTTCAAGTATCCTATGCTTCCACCCTTCTGTTCTCAATACACTGGTGCCCATCTTTTGTACATCTTGAGACATGAGAATGACACCCTGAGATAAATGTGCCCAGGACCTTATTGCCAAGTAAGCAGGCTTAGGACATTCACAATGTAGCTATTTGTTAGCTGAAGAACAATATTTAGTTACATGTATTGAAGATCAGTACTAAGAGTGCTGTAGTATTTTTAGAAGACAAAAGTTACCAATAGAAGCCTATGTATTCTTCTAATTGCAGGTTTACTGTAATGAACATCAAGTCACACTGGAGTTAGATTATCCTCAATGTTACCTACAGGGAAGCAAGCATGCCCAAATGGTATATTGAAAACTGCACTGTGATAGTCTTCATACTCATACTGTATAGTTACATATGAGGTTGTGGACCAGTAAACTAGAGAGGAGAACGGCATGCATTAGTGAGCATTCATTCATCACCATTGCCCTTGAGAAGCTTATGTTTCTGCAATTTGTAAGAAAGTAACTTCAGCTCATAAAAGCAGTTCATATTGTCCTATAATCATCCCCAGTGTTCCGGACTGTGTTGCCATTTGTTCAGACTCATCTTGCTGCATTATCTACAGCAGCTTTATACTTCCCAGAAACCTCACAAAGCCAGTGTTAATAAACAGATCAATATTGGCCTTGGTTGACCAAGTAATAATTAGGTGGCCATCACAGTTCTTAAGAGTTTTTTTCTCCTGACAGTGAGCAGTTATTTTTTTTACAGAGCTGTTTCTTCTCTGAATAAGATGGTAGGCATGCTAATCAACTACATGCCAACATCACATTAGATAAGCAACAGCCATTATTTTATCAAGTTATTAATGCAGCTGTTCCTGAAGAGGTGTCATGTAGATTCCTTCTCCTTTATTTATCTGCTGTGCTCTTCATTACATGGATAATTCCTATATGAGATCATTTTAGGTTAATATGAGTCAGGACAGGTGCAGGTTTAATTTGTTTTAATTAATGGTGTAATACTTCCACACATAATTAGTCATGATATATCCTAGGGGTTGATTTACTAAAGACAAATAAGCTGTTCACTTTTCAAGGGAATTTGCACTAAGTTCCGCTTAGTTTAGTGAATGAGGTGAAGCTCTGCAGACTTCCATTGTCCCATCATGTGCAAGCAAAATTGCAAAGTTAAATTTCACCACATTTACCAAGCTAAGGGGAAACTTCCCCTGCAATGTGCAAATTTCCTTTCAAAGTGAACAGCCCATTCGCCTTTATAAAATCAACCCCCTGCACATAATTACTTATCAAAGACTTGCTTATTTGTCCTCTTATTTAGCACTACTTACATTGCCAAAGTACGACTTTATCTTGAAAGTCAGTTAAAAAACCGACAGTTACTGCACCTTCTGACCCCCACATACTACCTCGCAGCACCTTAGTGTGCATAACAGTATAAAATACTAAAGTTGTTCGCAGTCCTCTTACCTATGTGTCTGATTTTACAATGATTATTAGTTAACAGAGTTGTCTTTGACATATTTTTGAATGTCTTCTTTTTGTTCATAAAGAAAACACACATCTTATTCTAAACAAAGTGATTTGTAAATCAGACAGATTGGGCCAATCGAATTTTAGGGTTTCATTTTCCAGGATTCATTATTTGCTTGAACCTTAGTGAATAGCAGAATCGGAGAATCATAATTTACCAGAAAGGATCCACAGATTGAGCATTTTATCTTTAAGCTTCCATGAATAAACTCATTTGCTGAAAATAGTTTATAAAGCAAACCTTGCAAAAACTGAGCATATAGACAGTTAATGGACTTACAGTAAAGACTTTCTCTGGTTGTCCACGGGCTCTCATATTTGTGTCGTGAATCTGTTTCAGGATCATCCAGGCTTCATCGTGTTTTCCAATCTATCAATGCAAATAAAATCAGAACCAAAAACACATGAGCTATAATGTGTTTGTAGAATAGTATAGCCACCTATCTCAACACATAATAGTAAAAATGCTGCAAGCACTAAGATTTTACTACATCGCACTACACGTGTAAAAGTGCCACTGATGATAAAGTACTGCTTTTTCAGGGTACATTTCGGTGCTCTGACACATGCAGGTAAAAGAAGTAAATGTCATTCAAAGTTCCAAGTACTCTTACTATTAACAAAAAAGTACCTTATTTGTGTATCACTCAGCTCGAGAGCCTCAAATCATCTCTGAATTCATGCTGACACTGTCTTTCCTTCCGGAGGGTGGCTACTTTTCTTCCCCATGGTCCCTGTGTGCGTTGTAAAGTAGCCACCGCTCCAAGCTCGTTCTCATGATGGACTCCAATCAAACGTGAGACTGTAGTCCATCACGGGAGTGAGCTTGGAGCGGTGGCTACTTTACAACACACTCATGGGGAACAGACATAGCCACCCTTCAGAAGAAAAGAGAGTCAGTACCAATTCAAAGATGATTTGAGAATCTACAGCCAAGTGATACACAAATAAGATACATTTTTGTTAATAGTTAAGGTACTTTAATGCATTTTCTTAGGTTTAATTCCTGAGTTTAGCGCCACATTAAGCATTCCTAACTTTCACCTCATATACTGTATACATTTTTATTTTTGAACAGAAAGTTTAGAGGAGACCCAACATGCAGTATTCATGCTCACCTCTAAGAGGAAACGTGGACTTTCAGGCATAAATGTGAGGGCCACGACAGTAGATACACAAGGAAGGGCACACACAATGACAAAAACCCTCCAGCTGTGGAACTGATAGGCTGATCCCATGCTGAAACTCCATCCTATGAAAAAAAACAAAATATATGATAGAATTGTTTACAGATTATATACAGCTGCTTCTAACATTTTAATACAAATGTAGATAACGTATATCCCTTCCATCAGTCTGCACAAATTGGTAGTAGTAGTAGTCCACTCAGCTGGATTTATATTTAGCAGCCACACACCTGGTGCACTTGTTGCCCATGAGACAATTGTGACTTCCCTTCAAAGTAGGACTTTGGACTTAAAGAAATATGCCCAAAGGTGATTTAGAGACATTTTACCATAATTATGGTAATTTCATGGTTATAAGTATTATTTGTCTTAGAGCAGAGTTGCAGCTACTCTGAGAAAGTCTAGATATCATGCATTGGAGGAGAGTTTGCATATGACCCAGGGATCAGTCAGAATTTGGACGTACATATTTAAGGCTTTAACACCACCAGAGGTTATGGGAATGAAATGCAGAAAATAGTAGCTCTGTCCATTTAATGGTGGAGTCTTGACCAAAATTACAGTTAATACAGTAAACATATATGTATTTCAATATTTTTTAGCTGTTGCCTGAATGTCCGCCTTAAAGTGACAGTAGCTCAGGGGTTACATTTTAAAAATGCATTCAAGATGCATACAAAACTGTCCACGTCTTCACGCAGCGTTTTGAATGTCCGTGTGAATGAGTCCTCAAAAATTACCTCATAGCTCCTATATATCATTAAAGTGACACTAAACTCAGGAGTTAAATCTTAAAAATGCATTCAAGTACCTTAACTAATAACAAAAATGTATCTTATTTGTGTATCACTCAGCTGTAGATCCTCAAATCATCTCTGAATTTGTGCTGACACTGTCCTTCCTTCCCCATGATCTCTCTGTGTGTTGTAAAGTAGCTCACTCGCATGATGGACTACAATCTCATGTTTAGTAAGCACATTTGTATTAAAGTTATAGTCCATCAGGGGAGCGAGCTTGGAGCAGTGGCTACTTTACAACACATACAAGGACCATGGGCAACAAAAGTAGTCTCCCTCCAGAAGGAAGGACAGTGTCAGCACAAATTCAGAGATGATTTGAGGATCTACAGCTGAGTGATACACAAATAAGATACATTTTTGTTAATAGTTAGGGTACTTGAATGCACTTTCAAGATTTAAATCTTGTGTTTGGTATACCTTTAATTTGCCCCCTAGTTTTAAAAACCTAACCATTAACATGACCCTGAACATGAGCCCTCAACATTTAAACTAACCCTTAAAACTTCTCACATTTAAATTGAAATATTAACACGCAACCTACTAACACTTTACCCTATCCTTAGCCTTACCTTTACAATGAACCCCCTTACTCATGAACCCAACACCAACCAAATGTTACCTGTTAATCTACTCCCTAAAACTAGAGTAACCTGTGCTGGGATATTCCCCCGCCAATATACTAATAATCTGTTAATGGAGGCTTTGCCACTCTTCAGTTTTGGCACTTATTTGTAAAAACAAGAATGGATAAGGATGATTTGCTTCCTTGACAGTTGTGGTGAAGTGGTCTGGGGTTATTTTAAGGATGTCTTTCTGTGAAATTCCACTGGATTCATTACATATCTGACTGTTAGAAGACCCCAGGGCAGTCCCAGAACACATCCGAGTGATAACTCTCAGATTGCTTAGAAATGCATTTTAGCCCCATGGGAGGAGTTGAGTCTCCTGCCAGGTAAGGCGTAGTCTGAGTTAGCCCATTGTCTCTGCAACTCCCTTCAAAATCAAACATTAAAAAATGACGATGATGATGATGTTCTATTATAGCTAGGGGGACTTTGCTGAGAAGGGATGCTTTACAGAAGCTATTTTTTTGCCAAGTGAAGCTAGTAATTCAAGCACCATATATAAGCCATGTATAGTCCACTGTCAATAGCAATACAGAGCACTGCTAAATGTCGTAGGAGATCATTGTTACAAAGGATTTTTAGCCCCTTGGAAACTCTATGTTATTATTCAGTGCAATAAGAAATAGACACTTCACTGTTCGCCTGCAATATACAACAACTGTGTCAATTGGGTAGAACTGCTGTGTGGGTCACATCCACATTCTTCAGAGAAAAACCATGACCGCTGCTTAGTCCACTGTTATTTTATTGACTATATGGGCAGGTCACTCACCGAGAACAACTAGGAGTGGATATGAACACTATTTTGAAGTTTCTATCTCCTATCTGCATGCCAACTTCATTGCCACATTCAGTCTTTTTATTTTTCTACTTTCACATGTAGTGTACTCTTTTATTATTCTTTCTCCTTTGATGACATGTCACTGTTACCTGCTGAGCCTGACTGTTCTTGTGGCCCATCTATTCTCCATCCAGACGATACACCATCTATCACTGACTCTGCACTCCAGGTTTATCCCTGTCTCCCTTTAGCTTACAAAAAGTGCAAAGAATGTAGATTTCTTCTTGGCTATAATCACAGCATAATGCAGAAAGTGGCCTTGATAAAATGATTAATGATCTGCGCCTGAGTCATTTTCTTCATCCATATAGCCAAGCTGCAGTGAATGTATTTCAACCCTTTGTATTACATGCTTATCTTATCTACTACAGTCATGGATGAAACTGTTTAATTATTTTTCTCTGGGTACCTAGGACTCTGCTAACCATTTCCTGCCATTGCTGTAACTGTTTCGGTCCAGTGGCTTTAAACTGATACATCACTTTGGAATATAAATAGTTAACACTAATACTAAAAGTTCAGTAAAGATCATCTTGTATATATATTCCTCTCCGAAGGAAAAAAAGGACTTCTGGGTAAATGTCATTTTTACATGGAAGGGCTTTACAAGAATACCATAACCCAGCCTATATTGAGCCAGCACACCTACCAGTTAACAGAATTGTTTAGACCTCTGGGCCTTATCTGATTGGGACTGGTGGTTCTGATTGGCATGAGATGCAACACAGAAGCGACTTTACAAGAATACAATAAAACACATCGGGAAAGGCGACACATCCCCTTTGTGGGCACCAAATGCCCTTGTACATATAGCAGTGCTATACATATTAGAATACAATAGTAACATCCCTTTGAGGCATTCCCTTATAAGAAGATTTCTCTGGGTTGGCTAGGTGGTGCTCCATAATGATTTTTGTTATCTTTTGAAGATTCAGAATATATAAAACATTTTGTATTTTTATTACTAACAAAATTAAGGGGCCTGGATATTAACTTTAAAATGTACACAATTAGTATTGTAAATATCACAATATACTGTATATATATATATAATTTTTTCCTCTTTCTGCAGGATTGGAGCCGTTTGCCTACCTGTGGGAGTTAACCTCTCACTGTCCATCCCATCTGTGCCCTGGGGTGTTGTTACGCTGTGCCCGTTCCAATGGCTTAGGGCTGCGTGATCCTGCTGCTGGTATCCGGGAAGACCGCTCCTGTACCAGGTACAAGGTCTGGGGTATAATTGCTTCTGGCCGCTGTTTCGTCCACAAGGGAGGTAATATATATATATTATATACATATACATAGGGATGTAGTATTTTTCACAATTCTCCTATGTTTGTGAGAGATCACACTCATCTAGGTAAGTCCAGCAGTGTTGGGTGTTTAAGGTAAAGATTTGTTAAATTTTTCTTTAAATTCTTTTTTTAATATAATAATGGCTTTTAACCAGTGTGTTCTAATTTTGGAATGGGGGCTATGCATATAAGCATACCTTGCATTTCCATTTCCAGAACTATGGCCTAACCTTTTTTGGTCATAGTTCTCTTCGGGGTCACAGGAAGACATATACTAATGTCCTCCGGTGACCCAAAACTCAGTATATAGCGGGCTATTGCACGCTATATGCTGATAGCGCAGAGCTGCTCCGCAGCCAGGGAGGGTACCCAACAATATTGTCGAGATCCACTCCACTGGCTGATTAACAGCTGGCTCTGCCTTTCTAGAAGAGGGAGGAGGAATTCCTGCGGGGAGCAGTGACTAAAAGTCACCACTCTCTGCAGGGAGAGGATCAGAAAGTCAGTGATTGACAGTATGTGTTTGCTGACTTTCCAATCAATAGAGCCGACCTGTGACAGCTTCAGTGTCACAGGTCGGCTTGAATTAGGGGTTGAGTGTATTTCACTCTCCCCATAATTTTCCTTTAGGGCCTATTCACACCAATTGTGGTGCGTTCCAGAGCTGCAGCTGCTGGAACGCACAGCAATCACTCACACAACTTCCCCCTTCGTTCTGGGGTGGGAGGGGGTGTGGCGGTACATTGCAGTCAATGGCACCGCAGCCACAATCCCCCCTCCCCCCAACAGCGCGATTGGACATGTGGCAAAATATTGCCTGCGTTCCGGTCCACTGCGAATGCAAACACTAGAGCATACAGCATTTTTTGTATTTGCAGTGGACTATGCAGCTGGCTATGTTTTGCCACGCATCCGATCGCACTGTGGGCGGGGGGGGCGTGGCTGCGGTTCCATTTACTTCAATGCACACCACACCCCCTCTCGCCTCAGAACGAAGGGGGAGGTTTTGTGACCGATTGCTGTGCGTTCCAGCAGCTGCCGCTCTGAAACACACCGCAATCGGTGTGATTGGGCCCTTAAGTTTTTTTGTCTTATTCTCATACAGTTCAGCTCTCTGATGCTGATCCAGGTGCCAACTCTTATGGGCTTCAACAGAGTTATGTTATGGATGATCACCAGTGGAGGTAAGATTAAGGAATGAGAATGATTTCATCAGGCTTCTGCAGAAAGGTTCTACAAGCAGCAGATTAATGATATCCTCCTCCCAAAAGTTCCTACTCTCAAGAAGACATTGAGGGGAATGAGATCACTATATTTCATTGGTTTGGAAATAATTTTGGTTTGCTTGCGTTTCCCTGCTCCTTTTTTATTTATACTAATACCCCACAATCATGCAAGATAAAACTTAGTTATGTGGAACAATTTGTTCTTTACAAGTTTGCACAGTCATGTATTAGTTTTTGTTGCAGAGAATTAGTAGAGACCAACAAAGCGCAGCTTGGT